GAGTTTTTTTTATATAAATGTAATATATAAAATTTATAGAATACATCTTTTGAATTTTAGTTTGTTTTTAAATTTTAATATTTTAATTTAATCGGTTAATAATTTTATTTTTATTAATTATTTAAAATTTTTTTCATTTTTCATAATTCTTCACGACCCAAAAAAATTATGATTTATTATTTTGTTAAAAGATATTATTAAATTATTTAAATCATTAAAAAAAATTAAATATTACTACCATAAAACTATTTAAGCAAAAAAAAAAAACATAGGAGGAGGTTGTCTTTTTGTCGCATAGTAAGTTTGACAGGAAGATGCATAAATAATGAAACGCAATCAAAACCCTTTAGCATTAAAAATGTTAGTTGCGTATATTTAATTAAAGCTGTTAAGTAAGCGTGTGATTGAATATGGATTTTAATTTTACCACATTAATCATGCGGCCTTTTTTATTAATAATAGCACTTTTAATGTAAGGGCATTCGGATTTTCCCATTCTCTATTTAAAATAAGTTAGGGTTAACTTAGCTCAAGCCAATAAGTTTGAAACATCGAAGACATCAACAGATTAAAAAAAAAAGAAAAAAAAAAGTCAATAAGTTTGGAACTGACTTGCAGATGAATCAGTCATCTCCGTGAAACCGAAAATAGCATCCACAAACATGAAGCTTAAAACTAGTCCAAACCAAAGGTCATCACTACATTACATCAAACATCACCACTAACACAAACTAACAAGTTTTGCAATCTTTCAACTTAAGATGAGTTACCAAGACCAAGGAAAAGCATAACACCATTCATCACCGAGAGCCACGGGAGTAAGGAGAATATGACCGCTCCCTCCTTGATCTTCCAGCATGGGGAGAGTATCTGGGAGAATAATCACGTCCTCGATAAGGTGAGCGCCTTGGAGACCTGCGATAACCATAGTCATCACGACCCCCACGGTACCTGCCACGGTCACCACGGCCTTTTTCCAAAATGCAACAGTAACAATGATGGTTTGAATGTTAAGTCTTTTTGTCAAATCACAAAGCAAAGCTTTACAAGAAACAAAAGTGACACAAATATTAACCTACCATAATCCCCGGTACTTTTCAGCCCAAGATAGTGCCCTGGTGTTGGAGTTCTGGGTCTCTTCCTTCTTGACTGAAAAGATAGACAAAACATAATAATATGCAACTAGAATGAGCAGACTAATCACATTCTCAAACCAGTGAAGGAAACCTACATATCGACCATGCAGAAACAATAAATGGTATAACAATCAAATTAAATGAAGGGAAAGGGGAAGAAAATCAGACACAAAAAGGCTTGTCCAAGGAAGAAAACCTACCAGTGAAGGTAAGCCTTTTCCAGAGGAAAAACAAATCATTCACTAAAAAGCCTACGTTGTAAAAAATTTGGCCCATGAAAGAAAGGGAAGAGAAAGCACAATACATCCAGACACAAAAAGGAATTGCCCATTAGATGAACATTCGGGTGTGAAATACCATATTCCATAAAAGCTTGATTATAAAGATGTTGTATTGTCCGTTGATTAGTTGAGAGTTGAAAGTGAATGCTGAGGTTGTATAGTTGTTGGGCAAAATAGTAGCTAAATTAGTTGATCACATGCATTTGAAAAGCTGTTTTAGCTGGCCATTGATCAAGCAAGCTGTTTGACTTAGGTTGAATATGGATGTACTCATCATCTTTGATTGCTGCCAACATAGCTGACGCAATATCTTCTGAATATAACCACAAAACCTTCAAGTTAAGAGAAATGGTAACCAAACAGAACCGTTAAAGGGTAAGCAACAGGGTTGGCATTGAATTACCCTCTCCACAGTTATATATCGGCCCTCCAAAACTGACTGGTTGAGATACTTAATGCAACGGTTGGCATCCTCAACAGTTTCCATTGTAACAAAAGCAAACCCACGAGACACGCGGGTGCGGGGCTCCACAACAAGAAAGCATGAAGCAACCTTTAAAATAAAAGCAATTTGTTAACTATTGAATAAAAAATAAAGGACCAAGAAATGGAGGACGACCATTGCCAGAAACTTTCAATGTGATAGGAAAACTACCTTCCCCTCCTTTGAGAAGTGCTCTTCAAGGTGTCTCTCTGTGACCCTTTGAGACAGACCAGTTACATAAAGTATATTCCCAGGATTTTCAGTATCACCCCTACCATGACGAAAGAAGGTGAAATGAGAAGAGTATTTAAAACTTCAACTTGCAGGCAAGTTACAAGCAGACTAACAGATCAAAGTTTACAAGAGTTACTACTAACCTGTCACGACTCCTTGACCTTGACAATGAGGAAAAATAGGTACAAAAGAAAGCATGGATAAGTAATTGCCAAAAAAGCTCAAAACAACAATGAAATAGAGCAGGAGAACAACAAACCTGCCACGACTACGTGACCGAGACCTATGCCTAGGCCTTGACCATGATCTCGATCTGGACCTGTCCCTGTCTCTGTCCCTGTCCTTTGATCTGGACCTAGACCTAGATTGTTCTCTCCATGGAGAAGGGGAGTGTGAATTCCTGATACATCCAGTGAATAAAACATCAACACTAAAAGTGTAACAACAGTTACATGAACTCTCACGACCATTACAATCTAGCAGCATCAAAATTAAAGAATTCAGAAATCACAGCTACTAGAACTAACATTCACTGTTGAGCAATCAAATAAATCTTCCACTAAAACTAAATTATAAATTCCAGAAGCTCCCAAACAACTCAAAAAAAACTTAAGAACTACATTTGCTCAGCTAAGTTTCAGAAAGACTCCTCATTCTAAACAAAGATCATAAAAAGATAAATCAATGGAAGAAATCAGATGACCAAAATCATCCAAAGAGAAAATTACAGAGAACGAAATAAATTGGTATCAAAGAAAAGGCAATTACCTTCTGCGAGGAGAGTCCGCCTGCGCCAAATCGAAACACATTGAGACTGTCAGATTTCTAACAAAAAAGAAAAATTAATAGCAAACAAAGACGAGTGAGAGGAAGAGAACGAGAGGTTACCATTTTCTTGAACCAGACAGAGAAAAACCCCTAGATCGCGAAAGTGAAGAACTAGGGTTTTACGGAATGAGAATATATTGAATTTGGAAACAAGAAGACAGGCGCGAGACCGCCCAGTCAATACGACTTAAAGACTTAAAGTCTATCTTTCGGTTTTAACTTTTTATATAATATATAGTCAATGGAAAGCCATTCATTGGGGAAAAAAAAATTGTAAATAAAGATGTTAAATTTATATTTTTTTAATTAAATATATTAATTTTTTAATTTTATATAAAAA